GGATTGCTTGTGTAAACGAGGAAACGATTTCGCACGATGTTAGGCAAATGTACTGTCGATTTGAGCTCAAGTTGGATGAGTTACGCGTAGTAAATCGTAGGTATTATAAGGCTAGTAAATGACGAATTTCCCTTGTTTATTGATGTCACACTCCTTCCCTATTATCTACTCCTGATATATATATGTACATATATATATGGCAGATTTTGAGCAGCACGAGTTTAAAACTTATTACCCCGCGACGCGGCAACCCAGCAACGTCATGCCAACGAGGCGCGCACACACCTACCTGTTCTAGTTTGTGTATGACGGGCAGTCCCTCGGCTACGAGGAGCTGCGTGGGCGGGTGACCGCGGCAGAGCCCGGTCAGCAGACGCAGGATGAGCGGCAGCGCCGGCTTACCGATGAACTCCTTCCACTCGGGCGAGTCCGAACTGCAAAAACACGGAAATCGCGATGTTAACGATCCTGCCGTCAGGTTTCGGTTTGTTCCCGGGTGTCCTATGGGTAAGGGGTGAGACTGGTCAGAGGTCCTGTGGTCCTCTGGTTCCGGGGGAAAGCCACAGGACTTGCATTCTCTTGCATTAACGGATGGTAACGGGGCAATGACGTGCTTGTAGTAGGCAAATTCGGTACTGCATTTATTTATTTATTCATGTATTTTTTTTTAGCATTTATTTATTCGGTACTGTACTGTTGAATCGGTAATTGTTAACGGAATTACGTCTTGTTTATAATTTCGAAATGAAAATTTTGAATCGAATCGAACAGTTTTGAGTCTGCTAAACGTTAAGAGTCTTAAAATAATTAAAAATAATAAGAATAAAACGTTAATGTAATTTTTTTCTACACTGAGCCATCGTACGACGACCTGCACGAAAAGTATTTACTGCATGTGCAGCATTTCTTAACACCGAGACACTTTATACCTGACCAGCAAGAGAGGCATTTACTGCAACACATTTTTACACCAAGGCATCGTTAGACGATCAACAAGAAAGCGATCTACTACCGCACACGCTCAACACCGGGACGTCGTACGACGAGTTACACGAAAGCCATCAACTACTGCATGCGCAACACACTTCTCAATGCCAAGACGTCGCCGATGACGTACGACTACTATGGCGCCACCTACATGATGACGCTGTCGGCCTTAGAGGGCGCCGCGTGCAGCAGGATGTAGTCGACGGCGCTGCGCACGATCCCGCTCACCAGGATCAGGTCCTTGAGGTGCGTGCCGTTGTCGTTGCACTCGATGCTGCTCGCAATCACGCAGAAGCAGTCCAGGTGCACACTCTCGTCCGGCGTGTGCTCACAGTCAAACCTGGAGTTTAATTAGAGAGTGATTGCCGTCGAGCCGTTAACGAAATGGGAAATTATTTCGCAATGAAATTATTTTGGGGTGAATGGAGAGTAAGACGAAAATTACCAAAAAACATAAAGGAAATCGAGTCGAGGGTGAATGAAATTTTGTGATGAAGAATCGAGGGTGAATGACGCTGAAATAGTTTAAGAAGCACCGAATAAGCGGAACGAGGCGATGAATAGCGGCGCGGGACGATGGAGAATGATGATTGTGTAGATGGATGAGAATTCGTACGGATGCGATCGCGGTGTGGTTGGCATTAGTGGCACGGAGGAATGCCAGGCCACGGGACTCGTACTACCCACACCATACAGGCACACACAGAGGTCTGCGGAAATCGACTTAATCTACAATATTTTCCAGTCTTCCATCACAGGAAGGGGTGAAAAGCGACCGTTACAGTCCTTGAAGCTAGAAGGAAGGATGCTATCACCTCCCCCTCCTCCCCTCCCCCTCCATGCCTCCCTATGCTCACTTGTTGAAGTCGCAGTAGTGCTTGAAGTGAGAGATGAGGGTGTTCATCTTCTCATCGTCGCGGAAGGTCAGGAACGGGATGAGACGCATGAGTCCCTGCAGGACGGCGTGGTTCTGCCGGATGAAGCCGCTGTTGATGCGGTCCAGCAGCAGCGTTAGCTGGTTCTTGTCGCCGCAGTAACGCGCAAATGCCTGCAAGCGCATGCGAGTGAGAGAGAGAGAGAGAGAGAGAGAGCTTAGCGCATGGTAGCGGTTTGTTATATCTATGTGACATAGCTCTGTATGATGGAAATATACGACAGCGCCTGTAGAGGAAAACATTGGGGTTTCGTTCGAGTGGCAGGTTATACAGTCATACCATCGCTATATAATTGTCACATGTTTATAAAGGACACTTTTGGGGGTTTCCTTTGAGTGGCAGTTAAACAGTTATGCAGAACAGTTTAACAGATTGACGTGATTCACTGGACATGACCAGAGACGACCGGCCAGACCGACATACAGATCCTAATAACCACACATCAACCAAACGGGATCAGACTCGATCAATTTAGAGTCCCGCAAAACTTTTGCGGTAGCCACCACACGATCGCGTGCCAATATGGTCAACATGGCCTCACCTTGAACGAGTCTCCGTGCTGGGCGCTGGCTTCAGCTAGGATCGTCTCCATGACGGTGAGCAGCTGCTCAGCTAAGGTCGCGCTGTCCGCCTGCTCCACCAGCAACACCTGTCGCCATGGCAACGCAACAGAAGCCGCATGTAGATGCCGTAGATCGGCTATTGTACACACGCATGCAAACACGCACGCACACACAAACGCACACACACACGCACACATAAACGAACTTACACATAGAGATACAAGAGCAATAGTGAACTAGTGGAAACACACTAGTACCTGATAGATAGACGCTAGAGTAAACGCGCCCGTACCTGATTCAGAGCTCCCAGCATGATGTTGATGGTGTTGAGCGCGGGATCAATGAGGCGAACGCGATTCACCTTCACCTTCACGCAGAAGCCAACCAGCTTCAGCAAGACCACCAGCAGAGGGCGCCCCCGGTTGATGTCCTTGATGGCGGCTAGCCTGAATGGCAAAACAAAAGAGCAGCGCGTCAGCGATAGATCGAGGATAGAGGGCAACAAAGACACCCACACGAAATCGAATGCAACGTCAAATTAAGCACCTCTGCGAGTTTGTCTCACGTAAATCGAGCTAATGACTACAGAATAACTGACTTCAATAACACCAATCAACAAATAAATTTCTTAGCACCTAAACTTTAACATAAAAGATTTAAAATTATGCTTAAATAATTAACTTGAACAAATTTATGTAACTTATATCCATCTATCTATCTATATCTAATGTACATGTAGTATATATGTACATGTAGTATATATGTACATGTAGTATATATGTACATGTAGTATATATGTACATGTAGTATATATGTACATGTAGTATATATGTATGAGCTGTATGTTGCAGGTACGTACGTGTTGATCACATAGAGAGCCATGTGCAGCATGTAGGGCAGCAGCTTCATGTTGCTCTCGCGGCCGCCCCCGCCCGTGTCCTCGCTGAACGACCGCTCCTGCGCGAAGCGAGCGATCAACAGCTTCAGGTCGTGAACCGATGACTGGTAGGTGATGTCACGGTGACCCGTGCACTCCTGCAGATACGTGTTGTGCCTGCGCGCAGAGCGAGGGAGCAAGAGTTAGCTAGTTATACATTCCTGCAAGCAGAGTGAAGAAAAGCGAGTGAGAGAGATAGGAGAGAGAGGAAGGGAGAGGGAGAGAGAGAAAAAGAGCCGGGAGAAAGGGAGGGAGGGATGCAGAGAGAGGGAGAGAGAGAGGAAAAGAGAGAGAGAGAAAGAGAAAGAGAGAACGAGAGAAAGAGAGAGAGAGAGAGAGAGAGAGTTATTACTTAAACCGCAACATGGTCTTAAACCTAATCTAAAGGAACTGGACAACCGTGTTGTGTTGGGTTACTACCAACACCTGAACACACGGACACCTACCTTGCCAAACAGTTAGCGAATAGAGACTCCGCAACATTCGGGCCCCAGACCGGCAGCAGACCATTGCACTTTGTGTTGGCGTTCTGCAGAGCCGCACTCTCCCATTCCTCTCTTCCTCTGGCCAACCTGAAGGTGAACAATTAATATGATCGATCAGTCTGAATACGCTATTAATGGTACTAATATGCTAAGCATTTCCAGTGATGTTTCTCTCTTACCCCAGCATACATTATATAAACAGGTTAGTAGTATAAGCTATATTGCATCGCAAAACCGTTGTTTATATCTGTCTGTATCTTTAACTCGATATTTTTACAGTCAGCGAACCTTGTTACCTTCACTTTATTGTTGACATTGCGTAAAATGAATTGTATAATATACATGTACTTTTGGAAATAAAAGTCATTATAAAAAAACCCTGTAGGCGAACATTTCTCGTGGCCGAGAAAACACGGACCTCACGCTGAAAACAGCTGCTACAGTGCGTGTGGAATACAACAACCTGAGATGCAACCGAGACTACCACTGAATATTGAATGTAACTTCATCTGTGTACGACACATCTTTAATTTGTTGGATCGTAAAGTATCTCTATGAGCACAAACCTACAGCAGTAGATTATCTGTGTTCAGTGGAATCGCATTTGTGCATCAGTGCGGGGTCAAATTCGTTTCGAAGATCAACGTGATCCCCCCCACCCCCGCCACCAAGCTCACACACAATTGTTACCCGGAGGACCGCAGCAGGGAGGAGCAAGGAGAGGAGCAGGGAAAAAAAAAAAAAAAGGAGGACAGGAGGAGGAGCAGGAAAGGAGAGAGCAGGAGCGAGGAGGAGGAGCAGAAGGAGGAAGCAGGAGGAGGAGCAGGGAGCAGGAGAGGAGGCGGAGGAGGAGCGAGGAGAAGGAGGAGGAGGCAGGAGGAGGAGCAGAGGAGGAGCCAGGAGCAGGAGGAGGAGGCAGGAGGAGGCAAGCAGGAGAGGAGCAGGAGGAGGACAGAGGAGAAGGAGCAGGGCAGGGAGGAGAAGCAGGAGGAGGACAAGGAGGGAAGCAGGGGAGGAGCAGCCCAAGGAGGAGCAGGAGGAGGAGCAGGAGGGGCAGGTAGGAGGAGCAGGAGAGGAACAGAGGAGGACAGCGAGGAGGAGCAGGGAGGAGGAGCAGGAGGAGGAGCAGGAGGAGAGGCAGGAGGAGGAAGCAGGGGGGAGAGGAGCAGGAGGAGGAGCAGGAGGAGGAGCAGGGGGAGGAGCAGGAGGAGGAGCAGGAGGAGGAGGCAGGGGAAGGCAAGAGGAGGAGGCGCAGGAGCCAGGAGGAAGCAGGAGGAGCCTGGAGGAGCGGAGGAAGGTGAGCAGGAGGAGAACAGGAGGAGGAGAGGAAGAGGAGGCAGGAGGAGCATGGAGGAGGAGCAGGGGAGGAGCAGGAGACAGGGAGGGGTGGAAGAGTGCATGAGTCAGTCATCAACTAGCCCTACCCGATACAGCCATGTGGCAGTCTACATGCACGATGTTGCC